ATTTTAAAGAAAATAAATAAACTTCTGAGAATGGCAGTGAGGAGGGTGGGAGAAGCGTGTCTGTTAGGTGAGTCTAGAGCAAGTGTACCGAGGACAGAAAAGCCATGAGCTCAAGCCCACAGGGGACTGGAGAGCCCAGGGCAGATGCACAGCTCTGAGTTCCTCACGACTTAGGTTAATGCACTGCTGCCAGCAGAGGGGCTCTCCCACAGGGGAGCAGACTACTGGGAGCCCATGGGGTTGGAGGGAACGGGCAGCTGGGCTTAGAAACTGTGCACTTCTCTGAGCCCTGGTTCCTCATCTGGAAAGTGGTAAGCACTGCATGGACAGACTCTATTGTAGGAATGAAAGAGGATGAAGGAGTGGCCATGGTTCTGCACTTCCTGCTCTGGGAGTGGCTGGCCTTGTGGCCGGGCGGAGAGACCCAGAAACACCAGGCGGCTGCCTACACTCACCATGAGCAGTGACCTGTTGAGAAATCTGTCTGCGGGGGCTCACAGTAACAAACCTCCAGACCTCCACTGTAGAGCCAGACTTCTTGCTAGCCAGCCCATCTTTCCCACTCCAGGATGCTCAACCATTCTGCCAGCTCTTGGCTCTGGGAGCTTTGCAAAGTCCCTACACCCTTTAAGAACATTGCTTTCTGTTTCCATTCACTTCCAGGCAATAGCCGAAGCCTCTACTCACTGGCCCGCCCTGCAGTATGCATGCTGCCCTCTCCATGATACAGCTCCCCTCCCCAGAAGACAGCTCCCTTCCACGTCCACATCACCCATTCATGCCCAGCACCACACCCAGGACAAGACTGCCTGTGAGTCAGGCCCCAAAATTAATCCCTTGCCTTTTTTTTTTTTAATTTTTTAAAACCTTCTTGAAGTTTTAAAATTCTGAGTTAATTCAGAATTTAAAAGGTGCTGTCTCCTAGCATCCTTTACTTCTTTTCTGAATGGGTGATCAAGGTATACAGAAAGGCAGGCCAGTTCCTTGCTCAGTGCTACAATCTGTCCAACCTCAGAACTAAAAATGGGAAATGGGGACGAGCCAAGAACCACAAACCACAGCTCTGAGAATAAACCACCCCTGTATCTGTGGCGCATTTGCAAGACTGAAACCCAAACGGAAGTACACATTCCAGAGCACCAGTGTCTCCCCCAAGCCTGGCAGGCCCCGTCACCACCCTCGTCCAGCATCAGGAGTCCTGTGGTTCACTTCTTTTTCCGAGGCCTTGTCCTTGTCCATACGATGGCCACCCTGATTTGTCAATTGCAGTTAGGGTCATGGACACCCTGCTACCTCCTTCCTCCTGTGAGATAGAAAGGACTAGATGCTTATACACCACAGCGTGTTTTACAGAAAACAACTTTCCTTCCTCACTTCTCCAGGACAATGTTCTTTTGTTTTTTTGTTGTTGTTTTTAAAAATTTCCCCTCAAAAACCAGGTAAGCTCGCAACTGTGCCAGGTCTGTTGACACGTAAAGGCCTGGAGCCCTCTCCTGCCCTACAATCCTGCCCAGACCTGTGGGACACCCCCATCCCCACGCCCTCGGCCCGTTGGCACCTGTGGAAAATTGGTAGGGCTTGGGGAGAGCTGGGCTCCACCCTACCCTACTTCCTGATACTCTGGCACCTGCCTCTCCACCTGCAGCTCGAGGACTGTGAACTCAAAGTTGTGTGGTACTGAGTACAGCAAGGCCACCTGCCAAGGACAGGTGTGTGGCACGGGTGGTGAGGGGGAGCACCAGGATGCAAGGAGACATGTCAAACAGTGCAGCCATAAGAAAAGCAAGAAACACATGAGGAGCAACAAACTCAGAAAATCAAAGTTCTCCACTGGTATTCCCATGGGGTTTTGCAGAATAAGCTAGTCTTGTGGGATGGCAGAGGCCCTGTCACTGCAACATCCAGCACTACTTCAGATGCAACACCTGGACACTTTGCAGTGTCACATGCAGGGGACACTGAGATGCACAGAGGTTCCTGAGGCAAACCAGCCTAAGCTGGGGGACAGAGCCAGTGCTGTCCACTTCGAAACTCGGTGCTCTTCCTCCCCACAAGCCCCCAATCCCTGCAAACCACCAGTCTACTCCTTCCTACCACCCTCCTCCTTCTCTCCCTCCTTCCATCCTTCCTTCCAGTTTCATTTATTTGAAAGGAAGAGTTACAAAGGAAGAGAAAGAGATACACACAGAGGCAAATCTTCTATCTACTGGTTCACTCCCCAGATGACTGCAATGGCTAGAGCTGGGTCAGTCTGAAGTCAGGAGTTTCTTCCATGCCTCCCACATGAGTGTATGGTTAGTACTTATGCCAGATTCCACTGCCTTTCCAGGCTAATCAGCAGGAAGCTGGATCAGAAGTGGAGCTGCTGGGACTTGAACCAATGCCCACATAGGATGCCGGCACCCCACTGTACTAGCCCTTCTATTTTTGTAAGCTCAGTCCACTATTGTCCACATATAAGTGAGAGTATACAGTGTTTGTAAAGTGAATTTTATCTTATCTTGGGGACTAAGATGCTAGAAGGAAAATGAAAAGATAAATAAAATGAAACTTTAAAAACCCAAAACATGGAACCAGCATTTGTGGCACAGTGAATAAAGCAACTGCCTGCAACACCAGCATCCCATATGGATGCCAGTTCCCATCCCAGCTGTTCCACTTCCAAAACAGCTCCTGCTAATGGTCAGAGAAAATCAGTGGGCCACTGCACACAATGCTGGATGAAACTCCTGGCTTTGGCTTGCTTCAGCTCCGGCTACTGCAGCCATCCAAGGGGTGAGCCATCAGACACATCTCTCTTTTCTCTCTCTCTCTCCAACTCTGACTTTCAAAATAAACTAAAGTAATGATGACACTGTATGTGTGTCATCCCTTTAAATGAGATGGAGAAAAGAAGTCAGCAGATGGCACACATTGCACAGTGTTGCAGGGCCACCTAAGAAACTGACCAACGGAACAGGCAGCCAGAAACCTAGGGAAGCTGTGCACAGAGCTGCACTGCTATCACAGCCCTGTCCTCGGCACACAGGATGGCCAAAGAGGCCACCAGGCTGAGGCCAGAAAACTCAGGGCAAGGTCACCACAGCACCGGCTGGGGCAGCATAAACAGCTCTGGTCCTTATCATCTGACTTTCCATCTTTCCATAGATGTGCAGCCCTCACATGCTGGTGCAGGTCTCTATGGCAACAAGTAGATCAACATAACACACAGATCTCACTAGACCTGCTATGTGGGGCACATCTGATGTGGATACATTTGGCATCAAAGCAGTCAGGCAATTTATGGAGCTGCTGGGAGCCTGATTTCTTGGGCTGTGACCCTGGGAAAGAACAAGGCCTTCCCTCTGGGCCACTAATGACCGCAGTGGCAAAGCACTTCGTAAAGTCAAGAGTGCCATTTCTCAGTCTTGGATTTCAAAGTCTCCCAGCTGGTTCCTTTCCAAGTAGAACTTCTCAGCAAGGTGGCAGTGGCAAGAATGAAGGCAGAGGACAAAACAGAACAAAAACAAAGAAGGGGTCTGGGGTCATGCAGTGATTCTTCAAAAAAAGTGTCCCCATTGCCACTTCATTTTTAAAGCCAAATACACTTCCCAATTGCAAACCCTCCCCTGCTCCTCCCTCCCCCCCAAAAAAGAAGCAGAGTAACATAAAAGTAAGGCACAAGATTCAAAAGTCAGGCTGCGGGGTGATCCCAGCTCCATGGCTGGCTGGCTGTGGGCTCCTGGGTTTTGTTTGCTCAGTTCCTAAATCACATGGCTGCTGTGCAAAGGGAATGAGATTATAAACACCCAGGAACACACACATGCAAGAATACTTAAAACAGTACACAGGAAAATGGAATAACAAGGTAAGTTTAGGGGCAAGTGCCTGGCCTATTAGTTGAAATGCTAATGAAGATGCCTGTGTCACCCCCGGAGTGTCTGGGTCTAATTCCTGTCACCGGCTCCTAACTCCAGCTTCCTGCCAGTGTAGGGTTCTTGTGACCCACCCCTGGAGGACCCAGACTGCATTTCTGGCTTCCATCCTCAATCAGACGGGCTCCATCTTGACTGTTGTAGACATCTGGGGAGTGAACTAACAGATGGCAGCTCTCTTTACATCTCTGCCTTTCAAATTTGAGAGAAAAAGACAGAAGGATTTGTTTGTACAAAATCTGAAATCTACGTACAGGCTCTCATAATCCATACCAGCCATGAACTTTTGGGCATACTCTCATGTCTCTGTATACAAATAGAGGACTTGGCACAAAGAAAGTACTTGGGCACTTGTACCCAGTATTCCTGTTCTAAACCTGACTGGAAGGGACAGAAAATGATAAATGGTGTGATCCAAACGACAGAGGTATTTTACAACTGTGGCCTTCCATCTAGACTCAGAACACTGGAGCCAGAAGGAACCCCTCTCTGCCCACAAGCCAGCTTGGTGCTCCTCACACTCTGGGGTCAAGGCTTACCTACTGTTGGTAAGCAACCCGCCCCCAGTCCAACCGAGCTGTGGTCCTACTGTGCATAGCCCATCTGCAGCATGGGCCTCGTGTCGCTCTCCAATCTAATGTGACAACATGTCATCCAGAGTGCTCAGCTAGGCATGCCAGACTGGTCCTGGGGTAATGTCAGGTTGCTCTGAAATTTCCAAAAGCTTTCTCTCGGCTTCTCTGCTTTGCTTATCACAGATGGGCAACAGTGCATGGACCAGTCCATGAACCATAGCTTGTGAGCACTGATCTGGACTGTGCTCCCTGCAACACCACTTTATGGAACAAAGAACTGCCAGAGAATGACAGAAAGCTGGAAGCTTCTTTTCTTAAAGTTCTCAGGAAACTCAACCCAGACTATACATTTGGGATTCTCAGAAAGCAGACACGGAAGGGAGAAAAATGCAGATGGTAACACCAACACAGACCAACCAGCACAGACCACTCTGAGCAGGAGGGATCTGGGAAGAGATTGGTGGGGCACCCACAGGGAGGTCATGCCCCCTCACTGAGCTGCTTCCCTGACCTTGGGACGGTCTTCCTTTCTCAGTGCCACAGCTTCCAATTTGGCTTCATATTCTGCTTGAACTTGGTCCCTTTTCTTCAGTACGCTCTGTGGAGACAGAGAGGAGAAGCATGTAAATTGGGGTCTTGGAAAGGTCCCTGCTCCCCCTCCCCAAGCTGTTCACATCTCTACACACACAAACACACACACACAGATGGACATGCCCCAGCCCCAGCCTCCAAGCAATCTGGGATTGAACTGCAGTGTGACATGTGACATTGGTTCTGGAAGAAGCAAGGGAGAGGAGAGGAGAGGAGAACCTTTCCTGTGCTTTCTGCCAAGGGTCAGTGGGGACACACTGGAGACTGGCAGTCCCAGTCTGGGGAAATCCCAGGCCTCAGCGTGGGCAGACAGCTGGGATCTATGGAAATGAGGAACTGGGCAGGTTCCAACACAGGACGTTCTCTGAACTCTCAGTGGGAAAATCTAAGTCATGAGAGTTTTTATTAGACACTTATTTTGATGGGCAAAAACAATATCTATATTATGCAAAAACACATTTTGAAACATGTATATGTTATGCAATTGCTAAAGTTAGCTAATGCCCATATGTACTATCTCACACATTGTTGTGTGTGGTGAAAACACTTAAAATCCATCCTCTCGGTGAGTTTCAAGAAACCCATACACAGCTACCAACCACGCTCAGCTCACAGTACAAGATTTATGAGAGAGTGCTTGACTCTTTAATTCACTGAGTTGATTCCCGGGGGACTCATTTTGCCAAAAGAGCAGCCTGTACAAGCCCTGAATTCCTAGAACCATGCAGGGAGACTGCCCCAGTGGGCAGGATATGGGTCCTAAGTCAGGATATGGGTCCTAAGAGAGTCAGTCCTGGACTGGAGACCACCATGAGGCAAGTCAGATGCACAGGGTGCAGAACTTAAGGAGCCACTGACTTTTAGGTCCTTGTAAGTAGAAGGCCAGACCCTGAGAGTGAGTGCTTCCTTAAATCTGTGCCCTGGGCTCACTTCTCTGGGTTTAGCTCTGCCACTAAGACCCCATCAAGCTCACAATAGACATTCTAGAAAAGCAGCACCTGTTTTGTCACAAAGGATTTCCTCTTTCTCTTTTAGTAGAACCACGAATGGCAAACCAAAAACAATACAGATTTTCTTGCCCCTAACTCTGAAGTTGCAAACTGCTATGAAAGTTTCTAATGATGAACTTTCCCAGAGGAACCTTCCAGCCAAGCACCAGGTGAGGGCTGGACGGAATCTCTCCCTGGTGAGGTGCGGGGCTTCCTGTGGCCTGGACAGGATGATAGGGGTCATGAGCAATGGAACAGTCGAGAGCCCAGAGGCCAGCCTTCTTACCAAATAGCCCCGGGAATTCCAAGTGTTTTACCCTGAACACCAAACCCAAAAGAGCTGGAGTTTTTCATTATGTGCCACTTACCCTTCTCCTAAGTGCTTTAAGGTTCCCCTGCCCACACTCATTGGTCTCTGGTGGGAACACTCGCAGTGCTGTTTCATGGGAGCTACTGCAAGAATGGGGACTTCCTGCAGTCTGCCCTAATCCGACAGTCAGCAGCCCCTGTGCCAACCGGGCACCTGAAAGTGGACTAGTGTGATTAAGGAGCGGGGTTTTCTTTTTTGTTTAATGCTACTGACTTGAATGTCAATAATCAATAGATGGCTTGGGGCTACCATACTAGACATAAATACATAAAGTAAAAAGATTTTAAAAATCAGGGATCCTTTCTGGATTCCACAAAGGCCAGAAAACAATCAACACCCACTGAGTTTGGCACCAGCAGAAGTCAAGGTCACAGTCTCCACCTAGTACAGACAGACATCAGGCTGCGCCAGGAGCCGGGGAAATTCATGTGTGGTATGTGGTCCTGTCTTCCCCCGCTGCCTTGTGGCTTCCTGGAAGAAACACACACACCCAGAGTAGTGCTTCCAGCAGAGAGAGTGAGCTGGAGACGATGATGTGTACTTGTGAGCACACATGGCAGAATCCCCTAACCAAAGCAAGAAGGGCTCTTAGGATGGCATCTTGTTGGAATACAACCAGCACACAGCAGTGCTTCCTGTCCCTGGCTCTGCTTGCCGCATCACTTTGTTGAGGTTGCCACAGCTCTTGGGGGTGGGGAGGAGACATCCACACCAACCCTACATAGCTCAAACCCCCTGCAGAAGGGAGTCCCCAGGATCTGGCTGGGTCCCCTCACTCCATTCAGCCCAAGCCAGGCCAGAAAGGCAGGACCACCTTCCTCAGCCACTGCCGTTCCAGTCTCACCTGGAGCAACCAGCACATGGCCCTCTGGTGGATGTGTGTGAGTGGACACTAGCCCTTCTGCATACTGGACAACACAAAAGGCTTGGGGCAACTGAGAAGAGGCAGAAGGGCACTGTCTTGTCATACAGGCACTGGGGAGCTGGCGGACACATCTGAGGGCACACTACTGGCTGACGGCACAGCTGTCACTCACTTGTTCCTTCCTGCTACTGTCACGTCACAGTTTCACAACCTGACCACAATCCCATCTTACCGAAGGCTGCACAGGTGTTGCAGCAGCTTGGCTTGGCATGGCATGGCTGCTAGCCTGACAGGAATGGTCACTAGCTTGGGACGGGCCAGGGGACCGGGTCAGCATCTGCAGACGGGCCCCTCCGCCACTGAGCAGCCAGAGAAGGCAGCCAGCATCTGGGCTCCTCTCAGAACTGCCCAGTGGCCTCTGATGCTAAGAGACAAGGCAAATCAGCGAGAACTGCGTGGAGGCCTGTCCTTCCTCTCAGCGTGTGCCCCCTCCACCCCTCTGTCTGGTCATCCTCACCCTGCTTCCTCCCTGCTGTGTCCCACCTTCACTCACCTACCCAGGTACGGGGGGATGATACAACAGAAAAGCCCCTTTCCCTATGGAGCCTCCATTCTTGAGGGAAAGCCAGCAATAAACAGGAACACACCACATGCAGGGTGACTCTAGGTTTAAAGGAGAGGCACAAAGCAAGGAGAATAGAAGCGCTGCATTTTGGTGGTGGGGGAGAGGGTATGATCGCAGTAAGGGTACCTAGGGAGAGTCTTATACTCAGAAAGTGACTTCAGAAAGATTGATTGGTGATTGATTATTTGAAAGGCAGAATGATAAAGAGAGGGAGACAGGGAGAATGAAAGCTTATATCTGAATGCTTGCTCCCCCACTCCCCAGCCCAAGTTGGGTCAGGCTGAAGTAAGGAGCCAGGGACTCTATCTGGGTCTCCAATGGGGGTGGCAGGGGCCCAAGCACTTGGGTCATCTTCCACTGCTTTTCTAGGTGCATTATCAGAGAGTTGGATCAGAAGTGGAACAACCAGGACTTGAACTGATGCTCATATAGGATGCCAGTGTCATAAATGGCAGCTTAACCCACTGTGCCACAATGCCAGCCCCGCGCCTATATATATATATATTTAAAGTAGAACATTTCCTCAAGACTTCAAATGATCCCAGTAATCTAGAAAGTCATTACACTTCTCTTCTAATGAATATAGGACAAATAATCCAGTTTCTTTTATTTTTAAAAAAGATTTATTTATTTTTATTGCAAAGTGAGAGATATACAGAGAGGAGTAGAGACAGACAGAAAGATCTTCCATCCGATGATTCACTCCCCAAGTGGCAGCAATGGCCGGTGTTGTGCTGATCCGAAGCCAGGAGCCAGGAACTTCTTTCAGGTCTCCCACGTGGGTGCAGAAACCCAAGGCTTTGGGCCGTCCTCGACTGCTTTCCCAGGCCACAAGCAGGAAACTGGACAAAAGTGGAGCTGCCGGGATTAAAACCAACGCCCATATGGGATGCTGGGTATTCAAGGCGAGGACTTTAGCCACTCTGCCACCGTGCTGGGCCCCAGTTTCTTTTATTTTTTAAAAAATATTTTTTTACTATAGTTCTAAAGATTTTTTTTTTTATCTGAAAGGCATAGTTATGAGAGAGATGGACAGATAGATGGAGATAGATCTTCTCCCTTCTGATTCACTCCCCAAACAGTTGCAACAGCCAGGCCTGGGCCAGGCCAAAGCCAGTTGCCTGGAACACCATCCGGGTTTCCCATGTTGGTGGCAGGAGCCCAAGCACTTGGGTCATCTTCCACTGCTTCCCCAGGCCATTAGCAGGGAGCTGTATGAGAAATGGACCCGCTGGGACTCAAATCAGCATTCATTTGGGATGCCAGTGTTGCGAGTAGGGGCTTGACTCACTGTACACATGCTAGCCCCTCAGTTTCTCTTTCTTTTTAAAAAAACATTATTTTTATTTTAAAGACAGAGTTACACAGAGATAAGGAGAAACAGAGATCTTCTATCTCTGGTTCCCTCCCCAAATGACCAAAATAACTAAAACTGGTTCAATCCAAAGTCAAGAGCTTTTTTCACTTCTTCTACATGAGTGCAGGGACTTGGACCATCCTCCACTGCACTCCTTCGCCACGAGCGGGGTGCTGGTTAGGAATGTAGCAATAATGACTTGAGTCGCCATCCATGTGGGATGCCAGCACAAGCAGAGGCTTAGCCTATTATGCCATGGAGTCAGCAGCATGTTTCTTTAATAAATAAACTGTGGTGAAAAACCAAATAATAGGAGAGATTTTAAAATATTAAGAAAATAAATAGGTGTTAGCACAGTGCTAATGATGCTGCTTGCTGTGCCTGTATCCTATAGCAAAGTACCAGGTGTGAGTCCTAGTTCCACTGCCGGCTACAATTTCCAACAAAGGCACACCATTGCAGACAGTCAATGATGACTCAGTACCAGGCTCCTGGCTTTAGCTTGCCCCAGAGCAGGCTGCTAGGAGCAGCTGGGATTGGATCAGATAATTTAAAATATAAATTAAAAAAGTAATAGGACCAGCACTGTAGCACAGTGGTCTAATCCCATACAGGTGCCAGTTCGAATACCAGCTGCTCCACTTCTGATACAGGTCCCTGTGAACAGGCCTGGGAAAGCAGTGGAAGATGGCCCAAGTGCTTGGGCTCCTACACCCCTATGGGAGTCCTGGGAGGTCTGCCCCAGTGCCAGCTGTGTCCCGAGTTAACTCTCTGTCTAGGACACAGGCATCCTACCTGAGC